GGAGGAGGAGGAAAAGCCGCGAGCTATCGCGCGCGGCGGCGGCGGCAGAGTGAGAAGAGAGAGAAAGGAGGGGGGGCAGAGAGAGAGAGAGAGAGAGAGAGAGAGAACCGCAGAGATATAATCGTCACCGACAGCTGTCAAACCAACGTAATCCTTCCCGGGTAATGAAAATCTCCATTTGACTGACCGGCGAAATCGCTATCGATCGTCGCACATTGGGACGCACATTGCTCGTCGCCGCGGTAGTCGCGCAGCCGCGGAGAGCGCAGTTATTCGTACGTAAGGGCGTCCACGTAAGGGCGGCCACGTGTCGATACGTGTCCGCCGTCTATAATCCGAGTTGATCGTTTGACGGTGTTTGCCGATAGCGCATGATCGATCGCTCGCGGAAGCGTCGCCAGCACCTCCGAGTACCGCGAAGTAAACCGTTTCGAAGTTGCGCCCCAAGTCCCAAGGAGAGGAGGAACTTATTCGTTCTTCGCGACGGTGGCAACACACATCGGTGCGATTCGCGAGAGGAGCGAGCACACGCGAGAGGAGTCAACCCCCGTCGTCGCGTAATGAAATTCCGCGGATTTTTGCCCGTTCATATGTTGACTATCGTGTGCTGGATGACGTGGAGCGATCGATCGCCCAGCGGAACACACCTCTCGTCTCGTCTCGCCCGCCGTTGGCGGGTGGTCCATCGGGGAACGACTAAATCTCTCCCTCTCTCTCTCTCTCTCTCTCTCTCTCTCTCTCTCTCTCTCTCTCGCTATCTATCTATCTATCTCTCTTCCTCTGAATATCGCTCACGGATAGTTGGGCGCGGGTACGGCGGCGGACGACAGACACACGTCGTAAGGAGAAAGTCATTTTATCGCGCGGCGATACGGTGGCTCTTAACATCTGTAAGCGCGCGTGTCTGCAATACGAGGCGGACCGCGTCCTCTCTCTCTCTCTCTCTCTCTCTCTCTCTCTCTCTCTCTCTCTCTCTCTCTTTCTCAGGAGGGTAAGAGACGCGTGCCATTTGTGCGGACGCGTGCGTGCGCCCGGTTAGCAAGCAGTCACGTATATACGCGCACGCGCGTACGGTCTTTTTCTCGCGGGCGTCTCGCAACCACCTGATGCCCTATTTGGCACCACGCGCTGCCACGCGCGCGTCTCCCCCCTCTCCATCTCGCTCTGTCTTTCTCTCTCTCTCTCTCTCTTCCTTCCCCGCTCTCGTGTCGCTCCCTCTTTCTTCCGCGTCTGTCCCTGTCTGGCCTTCTTCGCTTCGTTCCGCTCTTGGCATTTCGTCCCCCTCTATCCTCTTCTATCTGTCCTTTTTCTCTAACGCCTTCCTTCCTCCTCTCTCTTTTCGGTCTCTCTCCCTCCCTTCTCTCTCTCTTTATTATACTGTTATTTCATTTTTAAAGGCCTCCAACGCGTACCGTGAGATCGTTGATTGTCGAAAAAGCTTCACGCTCGGGTCCTGCGTGCGCGCCTTCGGCTTTCTCGATGATACTCGAAGGACTGAGCGCGAGCAGCGATAATGAAAATTACCTCGCGCTTCAGTATGCATCTACGAAACCAACCATTACGGTTGATACTCGATCTCGGTGATCTACGATGACCTCAATATTCGAGAAGATTTTTATTTCTCTCTGAAGAATTTTATTTCTCTCTTTGTGTATATATATATTTTTTTCTTCCTTTTAACCATCCTGTTTTATACAATTAAACAATGATACAATTCGATTGCAGCATCGGTTACCCTCGAGAGTCTTGCAGAAAGGAAAGATTTGAAAAAAATCGCCTCGCTCGAGCTCTCGCAATGTATAATCTAGTCAGGCAGATTCTATTTTTAAAATTGGATCGCACGTGCTCATTCGCGGTCGTCTTGATCCTTGTATAAGCGTTATTGCGGCTCGTTATATGATTAATTTCTCGTGCAAACCACACATTGATTCTCTTCCATATTTATTCGCGTCGGTTATGTATTAATTTCGCGTGTTGCGCTTTTCATTTTCCTCGTTATAACATGTATCGAGCGTCCAAATGCATCCTCGCGCCGGAGAATGCTGCGATGTGTTTTGCAAATTCTGTGAGAATTTGCAACGAAGATGACGAAGGTGACGAAGATGACGAAGAAAATCAGCAGGAGCGGAAATAATTGCGAGGTAGATAGTGGCAAATAATTTATTATAACGGTGAGATGTTTATATATAGGGTGTCCGGGATCTTTTGGAAAAGAAAAATTGTAAAGATGAATCAGATCGAACTGGGAAGAAAAGTCAAGTACATTTTGCAAAAATCGCGATACTTACGAATGATTGAAAATAATCACGTCTTGAAGCTCTTTTAATCGATAATTTGAAAATTTGCATACTTATTTGCAAGATGGTAAAGGATTTTTTTCTTCAGAATGGTCTAATCTGTGCCTAGCGACAGGTTCAAGATTCAGGATTCAAAGTTCAATATACTCGTATCTATCGCTAGACACAATAGTCAAATTGTAAGTTAGGTTATCCTGAACAAA